GGATCTGGTGGTGACGGGTGCGTCACTCCCTCCGTCACTACCACAGGTTGGATCTGGTGGTGACGGGTGCGTCACTCCCTCCGTCACTACCACAGGTTGGATCTGGTGGTGACGGGTGCGTCACTCCCTCCGTCACTACCACAGGTTGGATCTGGTGGTGACGGGTGCGTCACCTCCTCCGTCACTACCACAGGTTGGATCTGGTGTTATGAGGAAGCAGGTTAATGGAAGTAATACGTATACTAGTATAGTAAGTCTTATTAGACATGTTACTGTTCACTTAGATGCCAGATCAACCAGGTTGTGATGGATATGTGGGGCAGCGGACCACCAGCAGCAGCAGCCTGGTTGACCAGGCAAACACCAGACGAACCTGGCCCATGGCTGGGCTCTGGGAGTAGAAAAACTCTTGGAACTCATCAAAGATATATCAAAGGTATCCCTCACCCCGGTCCATGACCGGGCCTGGTGGATCAGAGCATGATCAATGAGGCTGTTACTTCTGGCCGCACGTAGTCCAACGTACGAACCACAGCCCGGCTGATCCGGTCCTTGTCTCATTCACTTTCCTTAATTTTGATGTTTCCAGGGGTCATCGCCCTCACGGCCCAGTCCTAAACCAGAAATGGTTGTTGGCTTGATCAACTAGACTGTAGTGGCTGGCCATACACAGTCCAACCTATGCGCCACAGCTCGGCTTATCAGGAACTAAGTTGAGGAACTTATCATGTTGCCATCTTGGGGACAGCCAGAGGCTTGTTAGTGACTCCCGTTATGTACGAGGGGACGGGGTTGAAGATAAGGGGACCTGACTCCCGTTATGTACGAGGGGACGGGGTTGAAGATAAGGGGACCTGACTCCCGTTATGTACGAGGGGAAGGGGTTGAAGATAAGGGGATTTGACTCCCGTTATGTACGAGGGGACGGGGTTGAAGATAAGGGGACCTGACTCCCGTTATGTACGAGGGGAAGGGGTTGAAGATAAGGGGATTTGACTCCCGTTATGTACGAGGGGACGGGGTTGAAGATAAGGGGACCTGACTCCCGTTATGTACGAGGGGACGGGGTTGACAAGGGGACCTGGGATGTTCATCGAGTCGCAACTCATAACAGAACAACGGAAATTTGTCCTCATTGAACATCAGATTATTGTCCAGATCTTTCCTTCACTCCCTCACAGACCACCAGTCACTCCCTCACAGACTACCAGTCACTCCCTCACAGACCACCAGTCACTCCTCTACAGACTACCAGTCACTCCCTCACAGACCACCAGTCACTCCCTCACAGACTACCAGTCACTCCCTCACAGACCACCAGTCACTCCCTCACAGACCACCAGTCACTCCCTCACAGACTACCAGTCACTCCCTCACAGACCACCAGTCACTCCCTCACAGACTACCAGTCACTCCCTCACAGACTACCAGTCACTCCCTCACAGACTACCAGTCACTCCCTCACAGACTACCAGTCACTCCCTCACAGACCACCAGTCACTCCCTCACAGACTACCAGTCACTCCCTCACAGACTACCAGTCACTCCCTCACAGACTACCAGTCACTCCCTCACAGACTACCAGTCACTCCCTCACAGACTACCAGTCACTCCCTCACAGACCACCAGTCACTCCCTCACAGACTACCAGTCACTCCCTCACAGACCACCAGTCACTCCCTCACAGACTACCAGTCACTCCCTCACAGACCACCAGTCACTCCCTCACAGACTACCAGTCACTCCCTCACAGACTACCAGTCACTCCCTCACAGACTACCAGTCACTCCCTCACAGACTACCAGTCACTCCCTCACAGACTACCAGTCACTCCCTCACAGACCACCAGTCACTCCCCTCACAGACTACCAGTCACTCCCTCACAGACTACCAGTCACTCCCTCACAGACTACCAGTCACTCCCTCACAGACCACCAGTCACCTCCCTCACAGACTACCAGTCACTCCCTCACAGACCACCAGTCACTCCCTCACAGACTACCAGTCACTCCCTCACAGACTACCAGTCACTCCCTCACAGACTACCAGTCACTCCCTCACAGACTACCAGTCACTCCCTCACAGACTACCAGTCACTCCCTCACAGACCACCAGTCACTCCCTCACAGACTACCAGTCACTCCCTCACAGACCACCAGTCACTCCCTCACAGACTACCAGTCACTCCCTCACAGACCACCAGTCACTCCCTCACAGACTACCAGTCACTCCCTCACAGACTACCAGTCACTCCCTCACAGACTACCAGTCACTCCCTCACAGACTACCAGTCACTCCCTCACAGACTACCAGTCACTCCCTCACAGACTACCAGTCACTCCCTCACAGACTACCAGTCACTCCCTCACAGACCACCAGTCCACTCCCTCACAGACTACCAGTCACTCCCTCACAGACCACCAGTCACTCCCTCACAGACTACCAGTCACTCCCTCACAGACTACCAGTCACTCCCTCACAGACTACCAGTCACTTCCCTCACAGACTACCAGTCACTCCCTCACAGACCACCAGTCACTCCCTCACAGACTACCAGTCACTCCCTCACAGACCACCAGTCACTCCCTCACAGACTACCAGTCACTCCCTCACAGACCACCAGTCACTCCCTCACAGACTACCAGTCACTCCCTCACAGACTACCAGTCACTCCCTCACAGACCACCAGTCACTCCCTCACAGACTACCAGTCACTCCCTCACAGACCACCAGTCACTCCCTCACAGACTACCAGTCACTCCCTCACAGACTACCAGTCACTCCCTCACAGACCACCAGTCACTCCCTCACAGACTACCAGTCACTCCCTCACAGACTACCAGTCACTCCCTCACAGACTTTTTTTTTCGTACACAGGGTTTGACAAGGTTGGGTTAAGGATCCCTAACTTTATTGACAAGCTAAGATCTGTTACCTACATCAGCTCATTTTAAAGCATTTTTATTAAGAGACATACAAGTAGGGAACAGGATGAAGTTGGAGCCATCTGTAGGCCAGTATTTTCATTTAATCAGCTGATTTTATCTCGTTGACATCATAATGCTGTACGAATGTGATCCAGATTCGAGTCATCCTGAGGATAAATGACTCTCTCTCTCTCTCTCTCTCCACATTCAGACGTCTCCTTCCCTCCCTCCCTCCCTTTCAGATATCTTCCCCCTTCCTTGTTTCAAAACCCTCCCTTGCACCAGACGTCTCCCTCGTCGTTCCCTCCACACAATGATGAGCGTCAGGGTAGTCGCTGTAAAACTCGAGTGATATTTGTCTCACCTCTGGCTGCCAGGTGCCGTAATTGACACCATCTACGGGGGGAAAGATGCCTGATTACCGCAGTTGAGGAGGAGGATGGAAGGAGGGAGAGAGAGAGAGAGAGAGAGAGAGAGAGAGAGAGAGAGAGAGAGAGAGAGAGAGAGAGAGAGAGAGAAACGGAGGAAGCAGAACCGCAAGAAGATGGAAGGTGGATCAAGGTAAGAATGTGTTAAAGAAGGAATACGAACAAATGTTTGAAAGGAAATATAATTAGGTGGGGAAAAAGAGGAAGACAGAGACGGAAGAAGATAAAACGTATTAGAAGGCAGAGGTTGAATAGGACAATGAAAACTACGAAGTAGGAGGAGAACGAAGAGAAAGATTCGGAGAAGGAGGAAGAGGAGGAGAAGGACGAAGAGGAAGAGACGGAGAGGAAAGAGGAGAAGGAGAAGGGGAAGAAGGCGAAGGAGAAGGGCGAAGAGAATGAGAGGGAGGACAAGAAGAAGAGGAGGAAACAATCTTAATAAAAATGGGAACAACCAACGGATCATTAACACTCTTCAAGAGGAATGTAGATGAGCTCCTTCAGATTGTTCATGATCAACCAGGCTGTTTGGTCTTCTGCCACCACACAACACTTATTATTTTGTCATTATTTTATTCCCAGTTGAGCTCTAAACCCCCATGGATCACAGCGCCCGTGGAATGAGAATTAGATCTGATCCCACTTAGGTATACCTGGAGAGGGTTTCGGGGGTCAACGCCCCCGCGGCCAGGTCTGTGACCAGGCCCAGCTGTGGATCACGACCTCGTCAGCCAAGCTGTTACTGCTGGTAGTGTGATGCACATCAGCCTTGGTGGAAAACTTAGTAGAAGAAGTGGAGAGGTACTTTGATGTACATCAGTCTTGGTGCAAGATGATCAGTTTCCTAGTCTAAATCAGAAGCAGTTGGCCACAGTCTTGTATACTGGAGAGTGAGGTGCAGCAGCTTGCAGATATAGTGGCGCACGAAATCGTAGTGACACGATTGCAAACAAACCATACAACGGGTCTGGAGTTTTACGAGTCTCTGACCGAGGGTTAATGCCCCACTCGTGGTATAGTTTGGAGATATAGTCACAGGTAAGCTGGACCCACTAGGAGAATTAGGTCATGCTTTACATTTCTTAGCAATAGACTTGCTGAAGACATCTCTTGTACCAAGATACCGTAGACTTTATGACGGAAAGGGATGTCCTCAGCATCTCTCCTGCTAACAACTATTTAGCCTGATCTACTTTCACGGGAAACGTTCCGTCACTAGATATTCCTAGTGTTGCAAACACGTTTTGCATATCAACTTGTTTCTATTCCATTGAATGTGATTGGTGTGTATGTGTGTGTGTGTGTGTGTGTGTGTGTGTGTGAGAGAGAGACAGAGAGAGAGAGAGAGAGAGAGAGAGAGAGAGAGAGAGAGAGAGAGAGAGAGAGAGAGAGAGAAAGAGAGAGAGAGACCTGAGCTGAGTATTGTACATCGGGCAAGCCCTGTTTCACTTGGTTCACTATTACTATTGGAGTTCTATTTATTAGAGTTAAACACTAATCTCACGCATTTTGTGCGCTATTACAATTGAATCGCGCTTATCATATAAACAAGTCATTGGTTCACTGGGTCACTGGTTTACCAGTCCCTCCATCATAATACATCAACTTGTATCGCATTGTCTGACTTGTATTCTTTATTTTACAGGTCGCGAGGGTCTCCCCGGGGCCCGCCCTACCTGGGGGAGGAGGAGGCCAAGTCTTGTTGCGGCTTGATGGTGACGCAAGCGGTCAGCATTCGCTGGTTTATCATCATGATAGCCTTCGTTGGTCTGTGTTGTACGGTGGTCGGCACAGTACTGGGTGCGGTCAAGACTTACAACTCAGAGTACGTCACCATCACGCTTCTCATGATCGGTGAGTACACTCCTCATGATTGGTGAGTACATTCTCATCTTCGGTAAGTACCCCTGAGCATATTCCCCATGATCGGTGAGTACATTCTTGTGATGGGTGACTACATTCTGCTGATCGCTGAGTACATTCTCTTGATCGTTTAGTGCATTTTCATGATTGTTGAGTACATGATCATTAGTACATTATCATGATGGTTGAGTACATTATCAGTTTGATGGTCTGTGGTCTCACAGGGTCCCAGCGCCACCACAAATATTTACATGTTTACAGATATTTTGTTTCAGAAATCGAAATTCAATTTTTTTTAAATCCTCAGGTTTTGTTGAATATTTATTTTTTAAAAATCAATTTATACGATAATATGCAGCGGGTCAGTCAGTAGTATGTCTGGCTCTAATTTAAAATTTAATTTCGATTAGCTGCTGACATCAGTGAGGGAAAAAGACCCTAAATGTTCCACTTAGGGTCCCCTGGACCACCAAATCCGTCACTGTAGACACATAACCTGCACATAGTATTGTGCCTTGTTATTCTCCGTTACTGTAGATAAGAGTCGACTATCACCCCTCACGCTGCCACCCACAACAGTCAGCTAACACCCAGAAGTCTACTTACTGCTGGGTGAACAAGAGGCAACAGGCGTAAGGGAAAACCTGCCCGACACACCGGCCCCATGATTAAACCCAGATGCTTGGCTTCTGAGCCGAAGACGTTGTGAATGAGCAACAGGACTTTCAAAGCCTAGCGCTAGTTATGGTGTAACAACTTCCAGGACGTGACCCACAGCCTGATCCCTGACCATGCCTAGTTGAAGGCCTGACCAATATTGATGCTAATGTCACGCAGCCCAACGTAAGCACTACAGCCCTACGATGCGTTTGTGGATGCATATGAGTGAGTGGGTTGAGGGTGTGTTGTAGGTGGATGGGTGGTGCAGGAAGTGGTGAGGGTACGGGCGGAACTGAGCAGTCACTCGTTTGAGGGTTGCCAGTGATCGTGACTTCCAGCTTGTGCTGCAACCGAGCAACTCCAGCACCTAGCACCAGTCATTGTCCCCAGAACCTAGCACCAGTCACCGTCCCAGCACCTAGCACCAGTCACCGTCCCAGCACTCAGCACCCTCAACAGTTACTCTACAGAAACCACAACATAATTTCTTGTCTACCTTCTCGTCCTAACTCAAAATTTCCAGTTTTGATCCTGACACAAGGAACGACTCAACAAGCAGATACAAAAAAATGGTTATAACCGTGGTGGAACTTTGAGGGTCAAACCGTACCAGTTCTTGCAGAAGTTGAAGACAGACATTTGTGCAACATTTCTGAATCTTTATTAAGGAAACGTTTCGTCACACAATGGCTTCATCAGTCCAATACAAAGCAGAACGGTAGAAAAAGAGGACTAGTTTGAGGTAATCAGTCTCTCAACCTGGAGTCGATGTGTTCAGTCCGCCAGTCTTGATTAATTGCCTGGTCAGTCAAATTGTTGGCGCTACTTACAAGCAGTCCAACATGGGCACCACAGCCTGGTTAATCCGAAACTGATAATTAGGTATCCTCAGTGGTGTGTACGGTAATTAGGTTTCTTCATGGGAGTGTACAATAATAGGGTATCCTCCAGGCGGTGTACGGTAATTAGGTATCTTCAAGGGAGTGTACGGTAATTATCTTCATTGGGGTGTACGGTAAATAGGTATCTTTAGGGAATTGTACGGTAATTAGGTATCTTCAAGGAGGTGTACGGTAATTAGGTATCTTCAAGGAGGTGTACGGTAATTAAGTATCTTCAAGGAGGTGTACGGTAATTAGGTATCTTCAAGGAGGTGTACGGTAATTAAGTATCCTCATGGAGGAACGTCAAGCGGATGCCTGCTTTTTACTCCGACTTTTCATATTGCTCGTGTCTCGAGAATGCCTCATCCTATCGACTTCAAATTTTCAACACTTGCGCGAAGACCAGACTCTTGGATCAACGTGAACTCTATGACCAGTGTTCTTGAACTCACTCCCAGCATCCTGGCATGGTGTCAGATAACCTCCAAAAGCCTCAGTGGTGTAGCTTCCAACATTCACACAAGTTGTCTCCTAATTCGACAACGACAGAGTAAAATTTCAAGTATATAGACGCAGATTTGGCAAGGGACGGATGTACTGTGAAACTGATGAAGCTTAAACTGATGAAGCTTAAGCTTCAGGGCTCATAATCCCGGAGGGCCCCTAGAAGCCACTTTAGTCCACACTGATTAAAAAATTTGGGTCTGCTGTATGAGAAGTTTTTTTTTTTTTAATAATATGGTTCACTTCAATACAAAAATAATAGTTAAAATTAAAATTAAAAGGTTTTTAAAAGTATGATGTAAGGTGGTTGCCAAGGTGACTCCCATAACAGTTCAAGCTTCAGGGACCCAAAAATGTAGGTCCGCCACTGGATTTCACTGTTATTTTATGTGTAAAATAATATGGTTTTTTGCTCTCCTTAAATCGCATTACATGAATTTTAGTTTACCTGTTCTGGTCGACTTCAAAGTTTTAATGTGATGTGTCTTAATTTGAAGTATTTTTGTGCTTATTTTCAGTTTGTGTGGCTGCCAATTTATTCAGTTTTTGCTACTTTTCTCATTTACTTTTTTTTAATCAGAATCAAATATTGTTTCTTACTGGACAGTAGAGAATTTTAAATAGGATGTAAATGTGAAAAGAAAATTTGAAAAAAAAAAAAAATGTTCACGTTTTTTTATGGCGGTTTTAAATTTAGAGAGGAGAGACTTGCCTATTTTCGGAACATTCTCAGATAGTTTTTCTTTAATTTCTCGCAATTTTTTTTTTTTTGTAAATATTCGAGAACGTCGGGTTCAGCCTGCTCCAAATTTTCATTTCTGATGTAATGTATCTTGGGCAATATTGATGGGAGTGTTGGCGGGTATGGCAGCACGAGCCACAGTAAATTTTGTTAGCGAGTGATAGGTGGAGAGTGTCCAGTGACCTTCACAACCTCACCTCTGGTGGGACTCACGTGAAAGTTGATATATTTAGTGGAGTGTTGATGTTAATGTGTCACATTTCGTTTCCGAATGGTAGACTGTATTATTATTTCATATCATTACTGGTGAGGGGCTCTTGATCCAAGGAACTGGACTTACCATCCCCTTGCTTGGATCGAATTTGAATGCTTCCCTTCCCACAGACGCTGTATGAATCCTACGGGTTTAGCGCTTTCATCTGATTAAAATGTAATTATGAACGGCATCAGTCTTCAATGGTTGATGCATCGTATGATAAATAAATGGAAGTTTTCATGGGTTTAGGCTGTGGAGGTTTTAATTTTGTTGGATTCTGTGCAATAACTGGAAAATGCATCTTCTGGTCGGCTTTAAACTTTTAGTGCTGATGTGTTTTCCTCAAGGGAAACAACGTTAAATTATCATGTGCCAGTTTTATTAATCAAACTGGTTTTTGTGAAATAATTAGAGACTGTCTCTTCTGATCAGAAGAGACAGTCTCTAATTATTTCACAGGTTAAATTAGCTTAATATTCTTTTGTGTCTCTAGCATCTGTGTGTCCTCAAGATCATTATTAAAAACTTGTGTGTTGTGTACACTTACATAAAACTAACTTATGTACTTACTGTCCTCTCTTAAAAGCTGCTTAAACAATAATTTGAATTGATTTAGGCTTTCTTAGGTCCCAATTTGTTCTTTTTGGAAGAAATTTGAAAAAAAAAATTGAAATGCTTTTCGTTCGATAATTTGTGTGTGACATGTGATCAGCTTTATCCCTCTTGTGATGACACCTTGATAATGTATCATCTTGTGATGACACCTTGATAATGTATCATCTTGTGATGACACATTGATGATGTATCATCTTGTGATGACACCTTGATAATGTATCATCTTGTGATGACACATTGATGATGTATCATCTTGTGATGACACCTTGATGATGTAACATCTTGTGATGACACGTTGATGATGTAACATCTTGTGATGACACGTTGATGATGTATCATCTTGTGATGACACCTTGATAATGTATCATCTTGTGATGACACATTGATGATGTATCATCTTGTGATGACACCTTGATGATGTAACATCTTGTGATGACACCTTGATGATGTAACATCTTGTGATGACACGTTGATGATGTATCATCTTGTGATGACACCTTGATGATGTATCATCTTGTGATGACACCTTGATGATGTATCATCTTGTGATGACACCTTGATGATGTATCATCTTGTGATGACACCTTGATGATGTATCATCTTGTGATGACACCCTGATGATGTATCATCTTGTGATGACACCTTGATAATGTATCATCTTGTGATGACACCTTGATAATGTATCATCTTGTGATGACACCTTGATAATGTATCATCTTGTGATGACACCTTGATGATGTAACATCTTGTGATGACACCTTGATGATGTATCATCTTGTGATGACACCTTGATGATGTAACATCTTGTGATGACACCTTGATGATGTAACATCTTGTGATGACACCTTGATGTATCATCTTGTGATGACACCTTGATGATGTATCATCTTGTGATGACACCTTGATGATGTAACATCTTGTGATGACACCTTGATGATGTATCATCTTGTGATGACACCTTGATAATGTATCATCTTGTGATGACACCTTGATAATGTATCATCTTGTGATGACACCTTGATAATGTAACATCTTGTGATGACACCTTGATGATGTATCATCTTGTGATGACACCTTGATAATGTATCATCTTGTGATGACACCTTGATAATGTATCATCTTGTGATGACACCTTGATGATGTATCACCTTGTGATGACACCTTGATAATGTATCATCTTGTGATGACACCTTGATAATGTATCATCTTGTGATGACACCTTGATAATGTATCATCTTGTGATGACACCTTGATAATGTATCATCTTGTGATGACACCTTGATGATGTATCATCTTGTGATGACACCTTGATAATGTATCATCTTGTGTT